ACCAGAGACAGAATAGGGAGCAGAAAAGGCAGGTCTACTGAAATACACTGCTAAGGGGAGCACCAGGTGAGACAGGAGAGGTCTGCCATGCCATGTGGGTTAGCTCCCTGCTGGGGATCAAACTCAATCTGTAGTGGTGGGCCTTCAAGTTAGTAGTGCTGAGACTTAATCCCTTTGCCACAGGGAGGCCCCCTAAAATTTCAATTGGTAATTATTTTGAACTGAAAACTACCTTATCCTTTCTAGAATAGGTTTCTTCTCTCATATATTTTTCTCCCATATTTTATTTTAATAATAATTTTAAACATTAGTTCACACTGTGTGTTTAGTAATTCTTAAATACATTTTACTGAGGGTGTGTCCTTGCAGAGAAATCTAAAGTGTTGGCAAGATGCCAGCCCAGGAATATGCTTTTCTTATGTTCTCTCTGTGGAGTATTTTTGCCTTTATCAATAGTATAAACTGAAACCCAAAACTGTGTGAGAGATTTTCAGGTGTTACTTTTTAACCTCTTATCCTTGAAATCCTAAAGTTCTTGGCTAAGATTGGTAAGGGTCGAAGAGCCAAACGTCAGTAACTATGTGTCACTCATTTCTACCTGCTTCTTCAATTTTCACTAGTGGAGATATCTTAAGTAAATTTCATTTTTACATTTAAAAGAATATTTGCTACATTTTATCCAGCTTCCCCAAAAACTTTAGGTAATGAATATTCATGTTACTGGTTTCTAGAATGTGATCTATGTTTTTGACCAAAGTGGACCAACTTTAATTTTAATTTTCACTTTAACTTCATAAAGGAAGATAAAGGTCTCACAACTAATTTTGAATTAAGTGTTTTGTATTTCTAAAGGAAAAAAGTATTCAAGTGTTTGACCATACTTTTTTATTGTGAACTTTTGACTAAGGGCATATTTATGGAATATACATAGTAAGTGACTTGAGTCATACCAATTTTCTTTCATTCCTGGCTACTTTCCATATTGCAACTCATCTTCTGCCATTTAAAACTTCTCTTGGGTTCACACATGGCTGATGTGGGACTGAAGGTTGGAGTTTTGGTATAAAAAAAATAAAATATCAAAAGAAATATGACCAAATTAGAACAAAGGAGAAATCCTTTTATTTACATGTGTGTTATATATGTATATGTGTATATGTATGCATTTTCCAGAGGAATATACATACTCAAATGATGTGTGCATATTATATATTAAAGCAACTTAGAAGAATTTCATTGCTGAAATATTTTTTTGGGCCAGAATGGGTACCTATTTGCATTTGTTTTCATAATTATTTCTATAATTGGTCTTACAAATAAATACAAAAATAGCTAGCTTACACTTACCACCTGCCTACTAAAGATATACAGAGAAGGCAATAATGCATATTTAATTTATTCTTCACTTTATTTTCTAACATAATATGATCACAATATTGAAATGATATACAACTTAGTATTCTGCTCTGGCATTCAAACACCAGTGCTCTTTTGTGGAAAAGACACCCTTTTTAAGAATTAAATGGTGGGAGGTGTCTGACAAATTGTAAATTTTATTTAAATAAATTTGCATATGAAAAGCCCTCAGAAAACTTTTCAGAGAAATTTTTTGTAGTCATATATACTATCCATAATCATTTGTTTTGGGTCGACTACATTTCCATACTCATGTCAACATCTCTGTAGTTTAAATAAAAGCTCCAAAGTTTTCAACAGGGTTTTGTTTCTTATTTCTCAATTGGTTATTCACTTAGTGACTTATCTTTATTATCTGGAAGAATTTCCATAGTTTGTGGATGCCATTTTCTGGACCTCAACAAAATATAGGGGGAAAGAGAGAATGGGAAAGATATTTGGTAAAAAAAAGGAAATATAGAGTTTGGATTCATAAGGTAGTGAATCAGACAGATTAGCATGTTAGAAATTATAGATATTGAAATTATTTTGTGAGATTAGACCCCAAGAATTGATTGGGCCTGTTCTTTGATCTTTCCAAATATGTGAAAGAAAATCTCCATTGAAATGTCCCTAAAATAGATACTAGTTAAAACATCCTCTGCACCACAATTCTTTCTAGTGTGATCTTGTTAGTTAAGTTCTTCTTGCCTGTTTCAAGTAGAACAGAAGTCTACCAATGGACCATTGTTCACAGGAAAACTTAGCTGCCTGAATTCCTTATTTTAACTACATTGGCATTACTTCTGGCATGGAGTGCAAAGCAACAATTGAAGGGTGCTGACCTCTGGCATTTTTCTATTTCCTTTTCTGCCAGTGCCAGCCCAATCAAATCAGTATTCATTATCTACCATCTCTTTTCTAAAGGAAGAGATAAAGGGGGGACCAAAATTTTGTTTAATAGAAAAGTATCAATAATATAGATAATGGTAATACAACAAAACTCAATGAATCATTTTTACAAACATTTCCGTTATAATTGTACTTTTTTTATTGAGGTAACATTGGTTTATAGCATTTGGCTTGAGGTATAGGTGCACATCTCTTTAGATATACCACACCCACCACCAAAGCATCAGTAATTCCCCACCATGGTCAATTGGAACTCCACCCCCACCTGCCCCATCTGGACACCTCAATTTTGGGAACAGATTTCCAGGATTATTTTTTCTTTAGTTTAGAATGCTTTGAGGACTTTGACCCTTGCCAGGAAGTGTCCACCATTTACCTGGCTGTAGACTCAGACTATCAACAAATGTTACATTCCTAAACATTGCTCAACCATAAGAGTTCCCTTGAATCACAGATTGTTTTTAAGTCTTATTTTTCTATTCATGTGTTAGATCTCTGTTATACCTATGAGAACAATAGGGGATTAGGATGAAGAACATATATTATATAAGAAGCTAAAGGTTGAAATAACCATATAGGTATAAAGTTATAAAGAATTTAATGAAGGTTTAGGTATAAAGAATTTAATGAAGTTCTCACACCAAATTAAAAAAAAATCACTTTTATTTTAAATATTCACATTAAAAATATTTTCTTTTTTATTCTATTTAATACTTTCTCCTGATATTTAAAATAGTAAATAAAAATGAGAAAAGTTTTAATAAAACAGATGAATAGCCAATTCATAATCATCTGAGGCCAAAAAAAAAAAAAAACAACTGATACGAGTAAATATGAATTTTTTCTCAACTTCAGAGAGACTAAAGTCTTTAGTTTCTTTAGATTATGGGTCCAGATAGAGAAGAAAAGGTGAGATATTGTGAGTATGTATACACCTGTGTGCTTCATATAGACAGAATCTGATGTGACATAATTAACTTGAGCAGGAATGTAAAATTACTGACAAAGCAATGCTATTTCATTCTCCATAAGAAGACAGATTATCTTTTTAAGACTATGCTACTAATTTCAATCTTGCTGTTAGATTGACTCTGTTAATGGCTCAAGGCAAATCTGTCACTGTTTTTCAAATACTTACTTCAAACATATACTGTGCTAGTATAGGACCAGTAAGTATTATCACTTTTCATACAAATTAAAGCCTACAATGAGTGATTTTAAATAAAAAATAAAATATATACCCATATGGTACAAATGGTCTATTATAATTTGCCTTCAAGCCATACAGTAGTAAAGGACATTTTCTTCAACTTCAGGCCCTTAATTTATTTTACATGAAACTAAAAAGTTTATTTCAAAATGGATATCATTATCCCTTTAAAATTGAAGTTTACATCTAGTACAAGTATAGTTTTCTCTAAAAGATAAGTAGATGAATATAATGAAAATTTACAGAACATATTATCTATATATTTATTTCATTTTCAAGACTACTCATTTTCACTTTATTTTTAAATTTATTTTTAATTGAGGCAAAATTGAGATACCCCTCTCAGTTATATCCACAACAGTGTACCCATCTCCAAATCACCTGTCTTCCACCACCATAGCCCACTGTGCTTCTGCCTTCTTTGTTCTTTTTTTAAGCTTTATTTATTTATTTATACAAGAACTGGGGTACAGGCCAGATGTGCGGGAGGGTAGAGGATTCACCAGAGACAGAGTGGGGAACAGAACAGGCAGACTGCTGAGGGGAGCAATTGGCGAGACAGGAGAGGTCTGCCATGAATGTGGGACCCTTGCCAGCCGGATTGAACCTGTGCTGCAGAGGCTACAGACAGCTTCACAGCACTGCACTCAACTGCCTGCACCACCAGAGGAAGCCCCCTTTTTTGTTCTCAACCCTTAAATGTGTTGCCTTCAGTTAAACCAGCATCTTCTGGACATCTCCAAAGGCATAGTGAGAAGTCTTCTTGGTAGGCAAATATGAACATGAACAAGGCATAAACACACATTTCTACAACACAAGATGAAATCTAATGTGTACTGTGGTAGAATTATAAATGTGGTGAGAAGACCTAGAAAGAGACGGTTAATTCCTTCTCTGGATTTCAAGACACACTCAAGGCAGAGATAAAAGTGTGAACCAAAATTTTGTTTAAAGAATGAAGATATGAATTTAAGAAATGATGTTCATTTAAGGGATAAAGGAAAATAATGGAAAGTAAACTTAAAAAGTAGAATGAGGATGCATTGGGGAATTATGGGCGAGACTCTTAGAAGGTAGAGCAGGAGCACTGGCCTTAGTCACTGAACAATATGCTACTTTAGCCTTTATCTTGTGTAGACAAGAGAGAAAATTTTTAACTTAGCAAGGTAATTTATATGTATTAGGATAGTATTCCATGATTGTGTTCATGCCAGGACTAAGATTGTATTCCTGTTTTCCTTTTAAACTTGAACCAGAAGAAAATATTGCTGTAATACATATGTTTGTATATATAGAGAAAGATAATTGATTATCTAATTTTAACCTAAAATGGTAGGCATTAACCACTTTCTTCTTAAGGAAAGTATGGTTTGTTTAATTTTGTTTCTATAGATAACAGTCACTGTATGTATTTGAAGATAATCTGGAAGATTTGGGTAGTTTGTGTGATTAAAGTATCAAATTGCATTTTTTGTTTTCGCAGATAATGGTGCCTGTTAATTAAATGAATAACTGTGGTAAGTGAGTTTTGTTTCTCAAATCTTCATAGAATGTTTTTCATTCAATATTCAGAGTAATTTATGGTTCCCATAGAACCTATAAAAAAATGAACACTTAGAAGATCTGAAAGTCAGGAAGGCTGAATTTCCCCCTTGTTTTCTTCTAAACTGACCCAACATGGGAATTCAGAGTTTCTTGTACACATGTATGAGTCTAGAAGGGTTACTGGTTTCCATTTTATGGATACCACCTGTTTGTCCAGGGATGACCCTGAGGAAACACCCAAATGTTCACACCATTGGAAACAGTAAAGTGCATTGTTAAAAATATATATTTTAAGTAATTAGAAACTACATTGAAGTTGGTAAGAAGCAGCAGGTGTTTCTCTCTAATCTCCATTCATGAAAGTGTTAATGTTCATGGCCTTGATGTATACACAGGCTGAGTTTCATTTTTACCATTTCAGGGCTGATTAAATTTCATTTTGTTTTCATTTAATCATCCTATTGGGAATAGAAATTGAGAGAGAATTTTCTTTTCTATCTTTGTTGTGAATATGCTATGTGAATATGGCTCCTTTTGGGAAGCCTATTGTGTAAAATTCTGTGTGAGAGATAAAAACATAGTATTATGTGTGAAAAATGACAATAATGGTGACAATAAAATACATTCAATGATATGCAAAGGGAGGGAGAGGGACAGAATGAGAGAGATTGATTTTTCTGCATTGCATAGGTGTTGTAGAATTTTTGGTTGTCTTTGTCAATTAAAATTAAGAGTTTGTTTTTCAACCAAATTATATCAGTGGAGATGTTTGTTTTTATATATGCTGTGCGTATTCAAACTCTCGAAAGCAATTGCACATTGAATTAGAAAAGTAACATTGTTGTTAGTTACTGTTTCAGTAGTTAAAATAATATTTTGTGGTGTTTATATTGATGATAAAACATCTAATATTTATTGGCACAAATAATTATTTCTGTTTTCTCCATTACTTTTACAAAAAGAAAACTAAAAAAGAATATATATGTCATAATTGACTTAGATTATTGTGATTAGTCATTAAAAACTAAGATGAGTGAGTGTGGTCAGTATCAATCTAATGAATCTCTGAAAAAGTGGAAACCTTTTTTCTTTGACTTGAAAAACAAACCTGATATATTTGCATGCTTTTGTAATGCTGAGAAACTGAAATTTTCGTTTGTTTTCTTTGTTGGACTTAAATGGAAAAACTTTTCATCGCAGTATTAGCCAGTTTACTTCCTTGAGAGTTTATTAGTAGAGCGGATTGTGAGAAAGGGTCACTTTTTTTCTCTTCTGTTTAACTGCAATCAGGAAAACATTCTGAAAGAGTGTCTTTGTATAGCATCCTGCCCCTTACCCATAGACTAGACTTTATGGTAAAATCAGAGATGGCCTGAGTTGGTTGTGGCTGGAAGGGGAGTAACAGGAAATTTGAAGGTGTGAGTGTTTACAGAGACTTTGCATAAGAAAGAGGAATGGGCAACTCTACTGTTTGTGGTATGGCTAGTGGTTAGGACAAAAAAAATGAATATTACTGTATATTACATTAGAACTTCTTGAACTTGAATGCATCTGTAAATCACCTGGACTGTCTTGTTAAAATGTGGATTGTAATTCATTAGGTATGCAAGTAAGTTCAGAGGTCTGCATTTCCCTAAATTCACAAATGATGACAAAGCTGCTGGTCCAAGGACCACAGCGTAGCAAGATATTATGTAGCATTTGCCTCAGTCTCAGAAATATCAGTCAAAACATTATATTTCAAACATTTGATTTGGATTAGACTTTTAGTGCTGTTATTCCACTGTATACCATTCAATATTGGGATTAGAGTAAAAAAGCCCAGTTTTAGATTGGCCATACATGAAAAGAACTGATTCTTACTAACTCAAGGTCTACTTTCCCTCTCAGCTGATTAATCATTGGGGTAAAGCTTGAAGGATGAATGAATGGCAATCTGTTTGGATCTAATACTTTTCAATTAAATGGCATGTAAGATTTTTTGAATATTACAATTCTGCACAAAGCAATCATCATCACCTTGCAATTGTCATTATAAAACATTATAAAAACAACAATGGTCATAGGGGTTAAAACGTGCTAACCAGGGCCTCTCTGGTGGCATAGGCAGTTGAGCACAGCACTATGAAGCTGTCTGCAGCTTCTGCAGTGCTGGTTCTATCCCTGCCATCAGAGGAGCAACCCACATTGAGTGGCAGATCTCTCCTGTTTCGCCCACTGCTCCCCTCAGCAGTGTATTTCAGTCAGTTTGCATGTTCTGTTCCCCACTCTGTCTCTGGTGAATCCTCTCACCCTCCCACACATGTGGGCTGTACCCAGGTTCTTGTATAAATAAATATTTTTTTTAAAAAAATGCTAACCATAATATAAGCAGATGTTATCATCATTGCTATGCTTGAAAGTATTTGACTTGTACCTCAAATATGTAGTTTAATGCTTTGGTTTTCTGTAATGCTCCTGTTGACATTCTGACAACTGTCTAGTTAATTGGTAAGTTATGAAAATTCCCAGGAGATCAGCAAGAAGGCTAGATAGAAATAAAGCTATGCAGGGTGGCTCAATAATGGTGCCCAGAGAAGTCAAGAGGCCCTAGTCCATTGGTGTAGGGGAATCTAAAAGATTTCCTGGAAACTGGATTCCACTAGGACCCTGCAAAAGGCCATGCAGTGAAGTTTCAAATTTAGTCTGAAGTTTTCTCTCAAACATTTTCTTCTAAAAGAGTGTTTCTTCAACCAAAGTTCATGTCACAATCACCTGCTGAGTTGAGAAAACATATTAACACTTTGGCCCCACCCAGACTGATGTCACAGAGTATCTCAAGGTGGAGACTGGCACCCAAACAGTCTAGCTCCCTGATTATTTCATGGGAAACTGGAATTGAACTCCCTACTTTAGGAACTGAGATTTGCATTTGTAACAAGCCCCCAAGAATGTAGACAAACCTCTGCTTCTAGGACCACACTTGAAATAGAAGTACCCTCACAAGTTGCTCCTAATATTCTGGGAAGGTCAATATCATATGAGGGCAATTACCTTTTCATCCAAGGATGAGGGGATGGAGAGGAGAGGTAAAAAAGGGATAAGAGACACCCAAATGACACAAGACATGGACCCTGGGTTGAATATTCAATATCCTACCTGATTGGATTCAAAGAGAAATGGAAAATCCCTGTAATCCAGAATGTCTCATTTTATGAATCATATGATGCCTAAAATTGCATGATTAAAATTCAGTGTTTTCAAGACTTGACTGTACAGACATTATTTTTTGGTACAATTGTTACCAATACAGAAAATGGAGAGGAAAGTGGAGTGGGCAGGAATATCAAATCTGATAATCATCCCAGATGATTCTAATCAAGAAAAGATTTGAGAACTATTGTTTTAGAACACATACTGCCTTATTTCCCTGGCCTCCTTTCAATATGTAGGCATAAGATGCTTCTTTAAATTAACATTTTATATATGTTAATATTAGCAAAGTTCAATAAAACAACAAACTAATAATATTAGCCAAGAGTTCTTTGGTGCTTACTCTTTGCCATATATAGTTCTTCATGTTTTATGTGCACTAAAATGATCCTAAATAATATTTAGTATTGTCCTCTTTAAATATGAGGAAATTAGCACAAAGAGACATTAAATTGATCAAACTCATATAGCTGGTAAGCGGAAGAATTGTGATTTGAAATCAGGCTTTCTGAGTCCCTGCTCTAATCAACTGTCAAATTAACCCATTTATTCAGTAAATATTTCTAGACTAATGTATATATACTAGGTGATAAGAATAAACAGGTAAGTACAACTATTGCATGGAGATTTCTTTCTCATGGGAGACATCAGTTCTTGTTTTTAAAACAGTCACAATTTTTTAAAAGACCTTAAGCTTCATGGCAGAAAACACAGGATGTAAATATCATTCAATTTATTATCGGAGTAGTCTTGGTAAATCTCTTTACCTCTTTAGCAATCTAATGAAATAATGTAAAGAGAAACCTAAATGAACTATTTTTATTACTTTACATGGTCATTGACAATAGTGAAAGAAGTTGTGTCTGTGTGTGTGTGTCTAAAAAATGGCTTAGCTGATGTAGGTAAGAACATTGTAAAATCACTCAATATTAGGGAGGTGTTGGTGGTAAAATGAATGATATTGGCATTGGTAGTGTGGTGTCATAATGGTGATGATAAATTTAATGATAAAGTGATAAAATATTGCTCCTTAGCATTTACTAAGGCTCAAGGATTATAACAGATACTTTACATTTAATATTTCATTTAATTCACTTAACTGTCCTGTTAGGTAGTGTAATTATTTCCCAATAATTGAGCTATAAACATAGAAGTATTAGAAAAACTGGAAACAACTCACACAAGTCACATAAATAACTAAGTAATGGAGTCTGGGTTTGATCTAAGATATATCAATTTTCTAGTGGTATTTAACAAACCACTCCATATCTCAGTGGCTTAAAATATCTATATGTTATTCTTCATAATTCTGTAGATAGACTAGATAGTTATTTTTTCTACTTGATACTAGCTGGGTTCTCTAGAGGTTACATTCCACTAAGGGCTCAATTGGAGGTCTCAGTTCTGCATGTGGTTTCTCTTGATTCAAAATAATTCATCCTCCAGAGGTTTTCCACATGATCTCTCTCTTTAGCAGGGTAGCTTAACCTTTCATATATAAGTTTCACTTGCAACTCACTCCCAAGGAGAGTTCCCAGAGACAAAATCCGCTGTACCTGTCTTGCCTTGCAACATGCTTGCCAAAGGCCATTGGTGACCAAGGCCAAAGTCAACATCGGAAGGGCAGGAGTTGCTAGAGACATGATTTAGTTTCCCACAGCAGATGTGGCTGACTCCAAGACCCACATGCTTTTCATTACAATAGTATCTTCTCACCCTGGAGAAAGTAAAAGTGAACAGGTCACATAGTGTTGTTGAAGAGAAAGCAAAGGGAAATTTT